TACACAGCTGCAGACTACTTTAAAAGGCCCCAATTCTGTAAAAATCTGAACTCACACTGCATGAGGAGTCAGATGAACATGCAACAAAGCCGAGCGCATTCTATAATTTGCATCTCCAGAGCTCCCAGGCTGTTGTTATTTTCAAAACGGGAAGGGGGAAAAGGATGGAGGGAGTTTGGATGGATTGGAGCCCCCGGGGGGCGGGGAGGGGAAGGGCTCTAATCCACCCGCCCCACCCTCCAGCGCTGAATGGGGAACCCAAAAAATGATTTTCCTTTGCTCCCTTCCCACCTTCCATTCTGAAAACAGCGTCCAGGCTGGGAGGGAGAGTGGTGCTGTAGCAGAGACCGGGCTGCAGGCTGGCAGCAAACAGCTGGAATCCCCAACTTCCAGACCTAACAGCGAACTTCTGGTATGTCTGAGATCACTGCAACTCACAGTGCTTCCTGCAAAGTGCTATTAGTAGAAATAGAGAGCTGCTCTTCTGTCTGAGCTCAGGAAGGGGTGGGCAGCAACAGGAAGCAAAGCTTTACAGAGCTGGTAAGTTTAGTGTGTCTTGTTGGCTTTACAGTTTTTGAATGTCAACCTTCCTCTCCTGCTCCTGTATTTTTAAATGGCACTAAGCTTCACGTTGTTCACAATAAAAACTATAGGTGCAGTTCTTCATGTGACAGGCAATAGCTCCCTGAATCTTCCTCTTACGCCCTGGAAGATGGTACATGAACTATGGTCTACCTTTACTTCAATGCATCAGTTATTCCCACACAATCAGGAAAGCAGTGTGGGGGAGGCAGGTACTCCAGGGAGCAGCCAGGCTGCCTGTGCTGAGGGGGAGTCAGCCTACATTTATGTCTAAGGAAGGAGAGGATCTGGGCTGCACATATGGATTGGGGTGGGGGGGGATGGGGTCACATGGTGTCCCAGTTGTCCAGAACTTGGACAGCCCTGGTCTAAATGATACAAGGTCTCTTACAGGGACACTAGAGAGGCCAGAGTGAGAAGAACAGGATTTCTTCCTGTTCTGCCTCAGCGGAACTAACACAAACTAATTGGTCAGGTTATTCTGTAGAGACAAGATTCGGAATTTCAGCAGCTCACACTCTACTGTTTCAGATTGTCCATCTGGTTTTAGCAACCATCAATCCTCTGGATCATGGAGTACATGCAAGAGATCTATGTGAGCATCACATCAAGACCTTCAATGCATATGCCGGGGCAAGGGCATGAAAAAGCGGAGGCTGCCTTGGACCTATCACCCCCCACTTTAGACCATCAAGACAGAGTTGAAAGGTCAGACTGAATACAGATGTTCAGTGTCTCAATGGTTGTAGCTTCTGCCAGAGCAGCAGATTAGAGCTGCTGCTGACTGCCTAACAAGCAGTCAGCAAAGGCACATTTCTGTCAAGGTGATGACCCTTAGCCTTTCTCCAATCAAGGAGTACTATAAGGTGGCGGGAAGTAAGGTTTTGAGGTGTCCTATAATTGTCTTACTCTGGAGGTTGCAACACTGTGGTATTTTATAGGACCTATCCCACCATGAGTAGTCCCACCGTATTGCCAACAAGCCCTCCAACCGGATTTAGTTTACAGCCATACCCAGGACCGAGATTGCCTATCAGTTCTAACAGAAATTCCATTAATCTCCTTTCACTCCATTAGACACCTAGCTGGTATCAAAGGGTTTTCTTTTAAGGTCTGGTAACCAAAGGAGTCTTTCTAGGGTTAAGCTTTGGTTTACACTGGAGTTTTACTGATATAGCTGTACCACTTGGGAGTGTGAAGAAAATATACACCTAAATGACACAGCTCTGTAGCTGCTCTTATACCAGCAAAATGTCCTTTTGCATGAAATAAAGATTGACGTGATGCTGTTTGGGGAACTGGCAGAAGCTGCAACCCCTTTAGGGGAGTTTGCAGATGTTTCTTTACTAGCAACTCTACTAATGGGAAACCAAGTTCTACACTTGCTATGCTGTTCTAAGCCTCATACATCAATGACACTGAGCCCTGATCAGCTTAGGAACCAAAGTGAGTTGTTTGTTTTAACCAAAAAACCCATAACAACACACTCCTGAATTAAAATACTTAAGTGGTAAGCCTCTTCTAATTCTTATTAAATATTTTATCTACATCTTGTTTTAAGCAACTTTATTGCATTTTTTGTACTTGGGGGAAAGATGAAACCAATGCACTCAGTAAAACAAAAGAAAAAACCATGATAACATTTTCTGCAAAGAGCTGTAGGTCAGAACCCAGTCTTGAACTCCTGACCTGGTGTTCCAGGACCAAGCACCAGCTTGATCCTCTACCAGGTCACAGCTCTTGGAAGAAGCAAGAATGGCACAGAAGTCCCAACAGGGAAAAACCTCCTATTGGTGGCCCCTGACTGACCTGGGGCTCCTGGCCCTGGGTTGGATTCTCCCACCTATATAAGGCTTCCTGTTTCCTGGGGAAGCTGTCCAGACAAGGCTCCTGCCAACCTTGGACTGTTCTGTTTCCCTGCCTTTTTGCTCTGCTTGTATATCTGACCATCCATTGCTGACCAAGCTTGGCCTTTGACCTCTGCTTACATCTCAGGTCTTGGATTGGCTGGAACTTCACTCTCATAGGTATCTGACCCAGCTTGCTCCCTGACCTTGCTCTGCCTAGTGTGTTAGGCCCAGCTAAGGCTCTGACCCTCTGGCCTTGACATTTCCTACCCCTCAGACTTTTGGCTAATAATCAGTGTAAACCATTAGATCACCTATGCCTTGGTGTATGACAATAAGCAATATGTGGAAGAGCCACTTCTGGCTTTGGAGTGCTACAGTAGAAGTCTCCTACTTGCAACTACCATGTGACTTTCTGAAATCCTCTCTACTAAAAAAAAATAAAAAAGCTCATGAACTACTGCAAAATACAGCCCTTGACATTTCACCTAACTTCTAACATTCTAAGTAAAAAAAACCTTCTACATTATCCAAAACAAATTAATACCTACTTTGAACGCCCGATGGAATGTGCACGATGTTTATTGTTCCCTCCATGTTCCAGAGGGACACCATTTAAATTGGAACCATATTTGAGCCCTCCAGTGTCTTTTCCAAAAGGATTTTCCTGGCTGGTCAAAGCAGCAATTTCCAAACGTTCCTGAGAATTAAGAAAAAGGAAGGGATTGCCTTTTTCTTTAAGATGTATGGATCAACTTCACTATTACCATGCAAAGACACTTAGATAACTAGGATCCCAAGGTAAATTCATTCATGATGTTGGGGAAGTAGTACTGAAAATCAAAAAGAACATCTTTCAATTACCTATTGGCAATAACACAAGGACACTTAATACTAAATAAAATGTATAATTTTTGTATAATCTTCCATTTCAGTCTTTCTGATCATTTGCAAGTGAAAATCTCAGCCAACTGAAAAGATACTGATAAATAAAATGCATCTTAGTTTATTATATGGCAAATATATTTAAGAAATTGCATTGATCAAAACACAAAACATTTCTTAAAGCATATCAACGTCCATCGGAAGCATGTGACAGGGAAAAATGAGAAAGCATTTGACCTAATTTAATCATTTGATTTTCCTTATTGCTATAAAACATGTGCTCAAGTGCTTACAACCAATGTTATTACACAATTACCTGTTTTGCCATTTCCTTCTTTTTTTTCTCTTCTCTCTTCTCCTCCTCCCTTCTCTGAATCTCATCAAGAATTTCACGTTGCTGAAATACATTTTACTGTTATCAGAAAATTAAAAACAAACACAAAGCAACCTATGATCCTACCCCTGAGAGGATCTGATGACCCCAGGGGCAAAAAATACTGAAGTCAAATCAATTTCTCTTAGCTATGCCAATAAAATGTTATGCCAAAGAAAAAAGGAATAGGTAAAGGAAAATTACTTTTAACAACCCAGAGCTCTCAAGTTAAAAAGGAAGTTTTTAGGGCTCATATACATGGAAAAGATATTGAGAAATAACCTGACTTGAAGATTTAAAATGCAGTAGCCATTCTGCCCTAACTTTTAATGTGGATACTTTTACCCTACAATGAACATTGTGTGGGTTAACATAAACCATACATTTGGTACAAAACAACTATTTGACAGAGATTTATTATATTCCAAAACAGAGGCCAAGATACTATAATTTTCTGACACTATAAAAGGTGTTTTTAACACTGGGGGTTAAAACACTAACCTCCTTCTAAAGCTGTAGACAAAATGTTCTTTGTATGTTCATGGCGGGGGAAGAGAGAGAGGAGGCGTGAGAGAGGGAAGGGAAGCAGATTCCAGATTCTATCCATTAATTGCTTATAATAGATCAATAATATATTTATGACTTTGTTTCAGATGCTATATTTTGCTGATGGTGATAAGGCACATCAGTAAATAAGCCACCATTTTAAGGAACCTATTGGTTTGACGGACTGATTATCTATTTCTGTTGAGCAATCATTTATTAAAAAATGTATTGACCATTTATAAGATTTCTGTTAAGTTCCCTTCTTGAAGTGACACTGTTTATCTAAAATGACAGTGAGATCACACCCATTTTCATTCTTACTTCCTGTTCCTCTCTTCTTTTAACTTCTTGTATCTGACGCTCTTCTTCTTGGGCCAGTCTCTCTTGTTCTTTTTGTTGATTTTTTAGCATTTCTTCATGAAAAGATTTAGAAGGTGGCTTATTGTACTCACTGAGAAATGACTGTACATGGTCTGCAAGCTCAAATATCATTACCTAAACAAAAGTAAACATAAATGAAACCCAGTTTCAAAATAGTGCAAAAGTACAGCAACATAATGTAGTAATGAGGCACCCAATTTAGAAAAGCATTTAAGTCAGTAGACTCCTATTGCATAACTGAGCATTGTCATCAGGAGAAGGGACATGCTTTTCCTGACATAGCTATTTGACAGAATTGTAATTAGTAACTGTGACTGGATAATCACTAACCACAGCAACAAAGACAGTTTTCTCTATATAATTTTCATTGATATCAATTCCAGTATGAAATACTCCTGATTAAGACAAATAACTTCCCAATCATAATGATTTCATTTTTACTGAAATCGTCAAAAAATATATTACAAAAACCGCACACTCTCCATGTACTGCTGAGAATAAATTGTTTATTTAACTGCTGATATTATATTGTGATTTTCCCCCGCAAGTCAGACCCATCATTACAGCTGCAGAACCACCTTGGTGGTAACCAGCTCTCGATCTCAAATAACTTGGCAGCCTGAGGAAATACGACAGCATGACAGCTCAGTTCAAAATTTTAGGCAGATCAGCAATGAAAAGCCACACTGTCAAAGCCACCACGTCACAATTCTCCTCTCATACTAAAATTGTTTTCTATGATAAAATAGCACGAATCACACCAACAGTTCAAACTCCTAAATATATTAAACAGAACAGATAACACGGACAGTGACTGGTATTACAAGCTCCTAAATTATATCTCAACCATCATCTGAAAAGACTGCCTCAGGACACTCAGAGAATAGACGAGTTCCTGAACCCATTCAGCTGTTAGCCTCTCTATTAAAGACTATCATAAAAGGTACCAATTCAGCTGACTATTATTACACGATAGACATAACAGAATCATTTAGGATAGCTATTCCTCCATCATCCAGTAGGATGTGGACTGAGCTCATGACTCAAGTTTACTGCTAGTCCTGACACACAGTAATAGTTTTCAGTCACTGCCAGCTTGGTTGGATGATCCACTGTATCAATTAAGTAATGCCTGTTTTTTAATTTCAACAATCCCGAACATGAAAAGGCAACTATTTTTCCAAAATTAATGCTACACCATGTAAAAAGTTTCCCCTCCTCACCTGAGCAACTTACTGATAGGCCCAGATAGGTCTAGGTTTGTAGTTACAAGAAGGTATGTGATAACAGCATACTGCACACACTGCCTCAAGCAGAAAGAGATTTACAAGCATCTTAAATAATTAATCCCTTGCTTGCACGTAATAAAGCCAGAGGGCAACATGGGAACAGAAGGCATACTGCACTGTTCATGTATCTTCTTATTCCATGCACAAAACAAAACACCTTTTCTAGGGTACCACTTTGAACTAAGAACATGTGCCCAGATACACAAAAGCAAATAAAAAAGACATTTCTAAACACTTTAAAACAGAGGTTCCTGACCTCCGGGCTGCGGCCTGGTACTGGCCTCTGAAGGGTTGGCTGCCAGACTGGAAGTCCAGAAGTGACCAGCATACTGCGGACTGGCAGCCAACCCTTTTTTATACTGAGTTGGCTGCCGGTCCGCAGTATGCTGGTCACTTCTGGACTACACTATGCTGGTCTGCAGTTTGCTGGTCTACGGTCACTTCCAGTCCATGGTTTGCCAATCCACGGTCTAAAAACTTTGGGAACCACTGCTCTAAAAGTATAACCTCCTTTCTACAGTATAACACGGGGTGCTCAATCTCAAGCCCTCAGGCCAAATGAGGCCCACAGAGGCATAACATCCAGTCTGCAGGGCTCTCCCAGATTGGAAACTTGGCAATGGGGAGCAGTGGAAGCTCCACACAGCCAGCTCTAGTTTTGCCCTGGGTCATTGCCCACGTATCCAGGCATTGGCCATACCTGGACTGGGGCAAGGATGCTCTCTTCTTCCTCACCCTAACCTCCCACCCCTCGCCAATCTGGATTGGAGCCACTCCAACCCTTCTCCAATCTGCACATCCAGATTGGGGTGCCCAGGCCTGATGTGATTTGCTCCACCCTGTGCATCTGGATGGGGACTGGGTTGCTTCCTCCTCCACCATGTGTGTCCAGATTGCGATGTATCGAGGTTGAGCTGCACAACACCCCCCACAGCTAGACTGTGCTCATCAAATGGATGCGGCCCATGGAAGTGTCTGGCATCACCCACCCGACCCGTCAGGTCAAAAGTTTGGGTACCACTGGTATAACATGCCTTTAATAGGACTAGGTATGGAAACCCCCTAAACTTCTCATAGCATGGACTACATTTAATAAAGAACCCTTTCCGAGTCCACCATCTTGTTCTTTAGTGAAAATAATTCTTCTCCAATTTGTTTTTAGAACATAATCCTGTAGCAAGGACAGCAATTGCATACAGAAACAGAGTAGCATTAGAAAAATATTTAAAGATTCAGTGTTTTAAGATAAAGTAACAACTAGAAACAAGGATGAGTACCAACATGATGTGACCAAGTAATTCTCCATGAATCATCAGCAAATGTACCGCAACTAGAGAACCCTCGCCTAACTTCAGATACTAGGTCTCACTATCTTTAGCACATTTTTACAAAAATGTCAGGAGTCCAATAGTTTCATAGTTTCATAGATTTAGGGTCGGAAGGGACCTAGTAGATCTTCTAGCCTGACCCCCCGCCAGGGCAGGAGAACAACAAAACCCCAAAACAAGAAACAGGACTCAAATGAGTCCAGCCAGGTAGGCATCCAGCCTCTTCTTAAAGACCCCCAGGGTAGGGGCCAGCACCACTTCCCTTGGAAGTTGGTTCCAGCTCCTAGCCGCCCTAACTGTGAAGTAGTTTTTGCGGATGTCCAATCTATACCTCCTCTCCATCAACTTGTGCCCATTACTCCTTGT